GGAGCTAGGTCAAGGGTTATTTTAACGCATAACTTTTTTGTCTTTATATTTAAAGCATTCGTGATACTAGATTATTAAATTTTCAGGTATTCTAGTACTAAAAGGTACTCCTACTCTAAGTCGATAGGATACACCGTTTTCTACAAAAATCGATTTGAAAATGTTTAGTTTTTTTCGTCACGAAAGTTAAATTATTATTTTTTGCACTAGTTGGTCGTGGACCTACGAAGAACAGAAGTATAACCTACGTTTTTCATTGTCAAAGTGTGTTCAGTTCGCGATGTTTATCTTTTAGTTTTTTATTTTGTGCCATTCAAATATAACTTCAATTTAACAGAAATTGGTTTTACTAATGAGGCTTACACTGATATGTTTTTGTTAATGGCCAAATAAGGTGTAACGCTCGAACAGCAAAACGTAGATACCCTGAAAAATTTCCCAATCGTGATTTCACTCACTCAACAGAAACAGGTTCAGTGGTCCCAACAAATAATGAAATAGGGCGGCATGATGATGTAACAGCAGCACATGAGGATGTTATTTTAATGGAAGTTGAGGAAAATCCAGCAATTAGCTTTCAAAGACTATCTGCTACGAATCCCACAATTACAAAATCTTCCGAAGGAAATATATTACACAACGAAAATTTATATCATTTTCATTTTATAAAGCACAGATCCTGTACAAGCACTGCTACAAAGAGATTTTTGGCTTACTTCAGCTGGAATGTACGAGACTAACTTGATAATAACTACGAAGACACGGATTAGAAAGGCTATCCAGTTGCTTGGCCAGCATGGTCGCCGTATTCCAATCCTTGTGATTATTGTGTTTATTCCATTCTAATACAAAATCGTGCGCAACTCTGGCTAATGATACAAGATGCTTGCAACGAATTTAGAAATAACTTTGGAAATTTTGCGAGATATCGGCGTTCTCTAAGCAAAAAGGCAAATTTATGCATGGAGACTAACGGTCTTTAACATCGAGCATCTTTTGTAACTATCTACTTTTAACACTTGTTCTTTTGTGTTAGTTTCCTTTAGGTACCTATTAATTTAACTTTCGAAGAAAAAACGAAACATTTTAAAATCGATTTTTCTAGTAAACTGTGTATTCTACCGACTTAAAGTAAAAGTGCCTTTTAGTACTAAAATACTTGAAATTTTTATGATCTACTATAAAGAATACTTAAAAGATATATACAAAATAGTTATGATTTGAAATAACCGTTGACCCACCCAAGGTCGCCTATGACCGGTACTAGAAATTCGGAATTGATGGAATCATATCACTCTGGATGATAAATAATCGTACCAGTTTCCTTATTTCTAACTAGAAGCGTTCTGGAGGTATTAAAAAAAAACTAATTACAAGGCGCCATTTTCAAAGAACTCTATTATCCGTTCACAATTTGTTGATAGCACGAAATATGCCTTAAAGTCATCTAACGGTCGTTAAATTTGTATCATCATAGGCGTTCCTGAGGTGTTTATTCATTAAAATTAATATTAATATTAATAATGTTTTAATACTAATATATTTAGCAAAAAACAATTAAAACTTTCAGGGCTAATGTTGGTTATTATATTATATTAATAAAAATAATAATTTAACCATTAACAATATTGTAAATAAGAATACCTTATCTCTTTGGATATTTCAATACTAATCTTCGCGTTTAATTACTTTACTAGAAAACCTGGTATTCATATGCGAAGGTACTATCCGTTGCAAGATAATTAGGATGGAATTCCCCAAATTTTTAATAATATAATGGGTATAGATGCCGGCTTTGGCCACGTGCCTCGTCTGTTTAGTTTATATTCGAAACTTAACTTGAAAGGGTGAAGTTATTACGCACAAAAACAATTTTTTTGTTTAGTACGTTTTTGATCGCATGTAATTTATGGCTCGTCGGTGTTTCCGCGTCTACGGCAGTAATTAACGTCTCGAATATTTCTTTTGCGAATTATATGTAGTGCGTGAGTGATTTTTATTCCATATACCTACGAACATATACGTACCTTTCGCTCGTGCTCGTTTTGTTGGATTGTTTGTGATGGCTTCATCATCAACATCATCAAGTTTTACACCGGTACTGTTGCGTACAGTCAGTAAGTCTGTCTATTCGCCAAGAGAGAAGACTATTGTCCTGAATGTTCCCGATGCTTTGGTTTCTCAGAATACCACAAGCACTGTTCGCAACATAGTCGAAAGTTGTGCCAACATGACTGGCGTAGGGGAGTCAACTATATATAGGTTCCTATCAGAAAGAAAAAAAAGACGGTATAGCTAACCCAAACACAAACGAACATTTAAAGAGAGGGAAAAAAGTCTATTGAAATTAATGAATTTGCCAAAAATGGTATTTGAAGGAAAATTCATGGATTTTTTTTTCAAAATAGAAATACCAAACCTAAATAAAATTTTACAAGAAGTTAGAGACGATCCGGATTTGCCTCATATCGGATGAACTAAATTGTGGCAAGTTTTAAAAGAATTAAATTTCCGGTGGGAGAAATCAGACCGAAAATTACTTTTGATTGACCGGAAGGAGATAATATGTTGGAGAAGAAATTATCTAAGATCCATACGAAAATTCCGGGCTGAAGGAAGGCCAATCTTCTACCAGGATGAAACGTGGGTAAACTCAGGTCATACTCTAAAAAAAATTTGGTCAGATAAAAATATATTAAGCTCCAGGCAAGCCTTTATGGACTACTGGTATCTCCCCACCTTCTGGTAAAGGCAGTAGATTAATAATTTCTCACATTGTCAATGAAAAATGATTTGTTAAGCATGGTTTGTTGGAATTTCAATCCAAAAGCACAAAAGACTATTACGAGGAGATGACAACTTCTGTTTTCGAAGAGTATTTGGTGCAGATGATTGAACACATACCACCAAATTCAATTGTAGTATTAGATAATGCACCTTATCATTCACGACTAGTAGAAATACTTCCAACGACTGCGTGAAAGAAACAGGATATTCTTGACTGGCTGCGGAATAAGTATCTGCCTTACGAAGATGGAATGGTAAAAGCAGAACTTTTAAAAATCGCCCGGCAACACAAATCTATGTTCAAGAAATACGTGGTTGACAAAATGGCGGAAAGGCGAAGTTTTTCATGTTCATCACAGTTTTTAGACTTCCACCCTACCACTGCGAAATAAATCCAATTGAACTTATTTGGGCACAAATGCAAAGTTATGTGGCTAGAAAAAATACGTCATATAAAATACAAGCTGTACGTGAATGGTTATACGAGTGATTACAACACATTACAGAACAAAACTGGAAAGATGCAGTAAGACATGTAATAGAAGAAGACCAAAAAATGTGGGATCTTAATAACATAATTGATGCGACCATAGAGACACAACCGCTAATTATTAACCCTCAAGACGACTCGGATTCCGAAGTTGATCCTATTTATTTTGAATTTAAATAGTTTTCTAATCGTAATTCTATAAGGTAAGTAATAGTAGTTGTAATCGTAAGGTATTAAAGGGAAAAGGCGCAAAATGTCACCTATCAAAATGTTCAATGTGTTTTAAATGTATCCATTTTTTTTTCAAATCCTGAGAAAACTAAAAAGCATTTTTGAAAAATTTAACGGCAGAATAAATAAAAAGTTTCTTTTGCATGCAATATTTTCAATTAAAAATTATACTATATTTTCTCTTTTATTTTCATCTCTGTTACATAATATATTAAAATAAATATTGTAATTTTTCAGTAATAATGTAATCTTTCATTCTGCGTTTAAATTTTTCAAAAATATTTATTAGTTTTCTCCGAATTCGAAAATAGTAGATACATTTAAAACACATTGAAAATTTTGCCAGGCGACATTTGGCGCCTTTCCCCTTAATTAAATAAATGTATCTTTTACAGATGGCAAGAAACTTTTTATTTTTGAATAAAATAAAGAAGTTTTATTAAAACAAAAATACAATTTAAAAAATATATTTATTTAGTTCAAATCAAAGTTTCAATCATATACTCTACGACACTGGTCGGCCAAAATACCTTTATAATCGGATTAAAAGGTTGACCGCTCTACTGTATTACTGATGATACAAGGTGGGTTAGTCGAAAACATCTTAAACCGTCAATTTCAGGTTGGTTTTTACTATTATATCGTATTACCTATCCTTTCTGTATTTCAGTTCTCTAATTAGGATTAAACTTGTAGTGAGCTATCAACAAATTGTGAAACCGAGTATAGCTCCTTTAGGAAGCATTTTCGGACTAGGTGAATTGGGTTAAATTGTCTTAAAATTATCAGAGGAATCTCCGGTCTTCGTTTGCCATATATATATATATATATATATATATATATATATAATATATATATATATATATATATATATATATATATATATATATAAGGTTAATGCTAGTTGATAGTAAAATAAAGGTAAAACGTATCGGCATAGCTCGCAACAAAGGAAATAAATATAATAAAATATGTGTATAAAATGGAAGGCAAACGTATATACATATTTCTGACTATTGGTCGTCTTCAGAACGGTGCAGACAAGTTAGAAAAGGAGCATATTAACTTGGGAGAGGATCACTACAGGAGCAATGCGACCAATTTGTGCAATAATGTTAGAAGACTATGAGGTTTCCAGATGCATTGCTTTTCTCAGGTAGCTTAGCTGCCTCCGTCGATTGTTAGTTGTTGCTCTGAAAACCTCAGAGTCTTTTAAACATTATTGCCACAAATAAGTTGTATTGCTCCTGTAATGATCCTTTCCCAAGTTAATATGCTTCTTTTCTAACTTGGCTGCGCCGTACTGAAGACGACCAATAGTCGGAACTACGTATAGACGGTTGCCTTCTATCTTATACACATATTTTACTATATTTTTTTCCTTTGTTGCGAGCTATGCCGATACATTTAACCTTTATTATATATATATATATATATATATATAATATATATATATATATATATATATATATATATATATATATATATTTATTTATTTATTTAATGGTAATGTATGACTAACCTGAAGAAGCATATCTGAATATTTTCCTGTTGAAGATGATTCTATTAATGATGTAGGTAAATATTCTATTTTAAAAAGATCGGATTGAGTTTGTTTGAATCGTTTTATATTCTTTAATACTGAATACATTATACTCGACTCTTTGATCGCAACCGTAGAAGAGCCGTTTAGTTCTTCCAAGCCATATTTTAATTCATATATTTTCTTTAATAAGTTTTGTATCACTAGAGGTATATTTTTTTGATATCTATGAGTTCCAGCATTGTTAATAATTAAAATAGGTATTCCTGTAATAATTTTAAATACATTAGTAAAACGTGATAATTATATAAAATAAATAGTAAATTATCTTTTTTTTTTAATTTTTATTTTAATTGTTAAAATATTTACCTGCTTCTTGTAAATCTGATGATATTACCGTCGGGGTAAAATTTAGCAGCAGACTTCCTTTCTTTTGTTTAGCATTTTTATGTTTCTTCTCATTTTTAACAGAATTGAACGGAGGTGCCTAAAATGCGCGAAATACATATAGGGTGGCTAAATAAAAATAAAACAGAGGCATTATCAGGAGCTACGAAAACATTTAAAAAAAGCCAGCGACATCGACAGGTCAATTACCAAGGTCAAAAATTACCCCAACATTTTTTAATTGCAATAGAGGTCAATTAAAAAATCGTTTGAAAATCGATTTGAGAGTCAATTTATTAAAAAAAAATAATGCTTTTGATACATACAATTGGTACATACATGACTTAGAACATTGTGAACCAGTGTATTTTCAGGTAATATATTTTCAACCTAAATTACTATAATAATTTTATTTTTTAGCTTTACTGAAACCCTACTTACCTTAATCAATCATTGGGAAAAAGAATATTTTCTAACCTAACAGAAAAATGTCTCGGCTGTTGTGTGGTATTTTGATAAAAAAAATACCGAAATTAAATTCTCAAGGACTATTTAGATAAATATTACAGAGTTATATATATATATATATATATATATATATATATATATATATATATATATATATATATATATTTTGTAAATATATTACAACACAGCTTAATAATCATCTTTAAAAGTATAAAAACCTAAATTGTTTACAAGTATTAACAATATACTACACTAATAATATTCATATGTCTTCGTCAGAAGAAGACTCACAGTCACTGTTACTCGAATAATCCCCAAGATTAATGACGATAGGATGAATTTTCGAATATAGATCAGCTTGTATTTCTCTTTAAACTGTTCATCTTGTATCTTTATAGCATGATTGCACCGTTTTTTTCCATTCTTCAATACTATTTTATTAAATTCTTCTTCTGCTAATTTTGTTTAGCATCCTTTCACTGAGATTATTCTTAACCGTTGCCCAAATTAATTCTATTGGACATAATGCCCGTACTAGTTTTTTTTTCCCTAAGTTAATGGCACTGGCAAAGCCAAAAGGCCAGGGTACTAGGTTTGGGTTCGATACAGAGCAGCGACAAGCCGCTTATACGTATTTCGACGTAAGTCTTCTCGGAGCTGTATAGCCACTACTCCGTATCGAAACAAAATCTATTTCCGTCGTAGAGAATAGTTATCAAAATAACTATATACAGACTTAACTACACCATCTAAGAACAAAAAGAGAAATCATACGATTTATACCTGGCGAAATCGAATTCAAATCTTAACCACTGTGCTTTCTAAAACTTGCAAAGCAAACAGCTTGATAAATTACTCGGCGAGGAAATTCAAGATTGCATTCCAAATGTCGTTCATCATGGTCAAAATTCGTAAAAGTCAAATCCCACAATTTGAGAGAGTGATTTTATAGTTTAAAAGCGGAATATCCTCAAATTTAAATGTACACAGCGGCCCTCGAAAACTACCCGTTTTCTCAATTGCAATTTGCGTTTTCTCATAAGAAATAACAGAATATATAAGTGGTATATTTCTTTGTGCTTCTCTATAGAAGAGTTGACCAGGAGTTGTCGTACAGTGTAGCCAATTCGTGTTCACAAGTAGTAATTATGGTCATACAAAACCTGTATTCTTCCACGCAGCGATTATCACCGTCATAAAAATACCAAAAAACATGATTTTTTCAATAGTAAAAATTAATCACAAAATTGTAATAAAATAAATTTTATTTATATGTTCCGTTTTGTTACATATTTGAATTTATAAAATAAAAATCGATATTTTAAAACATTAATTTTCAATCTCTTGGCAACCTTGAGCTAAGCGACGGAGTTCCGACTCACAGACAGAGCTGTAAAACTTGTTTGACGGTAATGCTGATGAAGAAATCAAGTCATATATTGTTCAATTACATTGGCGTTTCGGAAGGTATGTATGTGTTCCATTTTGTGAATATATTTGTTATAAATTTGTGTTATTAATAATACGAGTATTATAGTTTGTCGTTTTATAGTAAATTTTTAGTTAAATTCTGTGATTATTTAGTTGGAGTTTCTGTTTATATTGAAGTTTTATATATAATATATATATATAATATATATATATATATATATATATAATATGTAGTTTATTTGTTTATATTTTATATATAGTTTTACATAGTTATATTCTGTGATTATGTGATTTGAGTTTTATTGGAGTTTTGGTTTATACAATGAACGAAAAACCGAGCTGTTCCAAGAGAAGAAAACAAAATTCTGATGTTGATTCCAAAAATGAAAAGTCGCAAAAGAGACGGAAAATGTTAACGTCCGAAGAGAAGGTAATGATACGAAACGTTTATGAAGGAATTGTCGGCAGAAAAATGGCATTAAATATTAGCCAAGCGGTCGACATTTGTAGCAGCTTAACAAAAGTATCCGTTAGCTGTATTTATCGTGTAATTACAAATACATCGGAAAATCAAAAGCAGGAAAAAAGTAAAACTAGAGGTAGGAAAAGCATTGTTTTAGATGACGAGACAAGAAATATTATACGTAGAAAAATTCATTCATTTTATTTTTGGAGTGAAATTCCAACACTGAAAAAAATTTCTCAAGAGCTCCAAAACGATGACGCCTTACCCAAGATATCTCGTAGAGTCTTAATCAGGACCATGCGCGAAATGAACTTTCGATATGTGAAACGCAATAGAAAAAGTATGTTATTAGAAAAAATTAAATTATTGTGTGGAGAAGAAAATATTTAGAAGAAATACGCAAAATTCGCAGCACTGGGCGCAAAATATATTATTTGGATGAAACCTGGATTAACGAAAGTCATACAGTTGAAAAGTTTGGCAATATTTAAATGTTAAAAGTAAACGCGAAGCATTTATAGAAGGCTGGTCTACAGGATTAAAAGCTCCATCAGGAAAGGGACGGCGTTTAATCATCACCCATATAGGAAGTGATACAGGGTTCCTTGATGATGGTTTGCTTCAATTTGAGTCGAAAAAAAAACAGGTGATTATCATGAAGAAATGACTTCCGAAGTATTTGAGCGCTGGTTTAAGAGAATTTTACCAAAATTGGAACCTGGGTCTGTGGTTGTAATGGATAATGCGCCATACCATAGCCGCAGACTAGAACAATTACCGACGACGGCATGGCGAAAGGGAGAATTCAAGAATGGCTTACAGAAAAGAGGATTGCATACGAAGAATCAATGCTCAAAATTCAGCTACTTGACATTGCACGGTTAAGGAAAAGTGAATATCTTAAATATGCTGTGGATGAAACTGCAAAAGATTATGGTGTCAAAGTTCTGTGCCTACCACCTTATCATTGCGAACGTAATCCCATTGAACTTATCTGGGCGCAAGTGAAAGGAGAAGTAGCACGCAATAACAAAACGTTTAAATTAAACGAAGTTAAGTAACTTTTAATTCAAGCAATCCTCCATGTAACTTCAGAAAAATGATCTAAATGTATAGGCCACATAATTAAAGAAGAACGTCGTATGTGGGAACTTGACACTCATATCGAAGTTTTACTAGAGCCAATTATCATTACACCAGGTGAAGATAATGACAGCGATAGCAGCACTGCATCTTCAGATTTAGACAGCGAATAATATTTTCTAATAGTTTAGTAAGATCTTCAGAATAAAAAAAAATGAGAAGAACATAGCAAGTGCGTATAGTGTTTGTGTTTAAATAGGATAGTACAATGTTTCGTTACATCAAAAATTATTTTTATTTTGTTTTTATAGAATTTTATTTTGTTTTATAGAATTTTACTTTGTTGTGTTTTATACTGTTTTTAGTGTTTAAAGTGTTTTGCTCATTTTATTTAATGGGACAATATGGCTCACACCCATTTAAAAAAGTAACGCGCCACAAGACATACTTCTGGGGTGGTGTGGAAACTGTCTTAAAATTTGTTTTAAAAAAAATTTCATTATGTAACTCTTTTAGGACGGGTCGCGTCAAAAGACGTTTTAGCGTAACTTCTGCGAAAGCTTACTGATGCTAGGTGACATCAGTAAGCTTTTTGTAAAATTAATTGCTTTTTATTACTTTTTGTTTGTGGTGTGTGTGTGGGCATTCTGTATTTTTAGGGGAATGTAGGGAATTACCCACACAAAATATGAATTCATATGTTTATTCACTGACGTTTCGATCTCTATATCCATAGACCGTTTTTAAAGATAGAATAAAAAAAAAGAAAATAAATAATGTAAGATTATAAAAATATATAATAATAAACAAATAAAACAAATTTAACTATCATTTATATTTTTGAAAGCGGACTTTGGATATAGAAATCGAAACGTCAATAAAAAACTTGTAAATAAATATATTGTGGCCTATTTCGAACAATAATATTTGAAAAATATAATATAATTAACGTTAAAAAAAAGTGAGTGTACGCCACTGGATTTTCATACGTCTTTTCCCACTTCACCGCCTTTAAACAATGAATCACTCTTCTAAATAGTGGAATTTGACCATAGTGAATTCAATTTCTGGTACTCTAAACGGAGTAAAGAAATAAAACATAATGACGGTACCAGATTTTGGTTCGATACAGAACAGCGACAAGCCGCTTATACGTATTTCGACCTCTTTAGGTCTCCTCAAAGCGGTATAGTCACTACTTCGTATCGAAACAAAATCTATTCCCGTCGTAGACAAGAGTTATCAAAATAACTATATACAGGCGTAACTACGCCATCTAAGAACAGAAAGAGAAATCATACGCATCAGCGACAAGCCGCTTATACGTATTTCGACCTGTTTAGGTCTCCTCAGAGCGGTAGAGCCACTACTCCGTACGAGTAAGAAAAATTTTAGGATGAATTCAAGGAGAAGTCAAATACGGAGACTCCTGCAGAAGAAGAACTAGTACTCAGATAATAAATTTGTATGGAAATTTACGATAGCCCAAAGAGACAAAGTAATGAGACTAAGACAGTTAGGTTATCTGAACATAATGGATAACGAAAGAAGGGTAACAAAAAATTGAAACAGGTTTGGCAAATAAAAGAAGAGTAGGACGACCTCCTAGTAGAATATATGCAAGAATTACTCGAATATGCAACACGAAGTCCGACTGAAATAAACAATACCTACGGCCCAAAAATAACAAACGAAGAAATAACTATAGCCAATAAGCGGAATAAGCGGATTAATGATGGGAAATTACAGGACCTGATGGGGTGTATGGTGAAATTTTAAAGCTATTAGAGGCACACCAAATCACAAATCTTACGAAGCTATTCAACAACATGTACGAGACTGGTTATGTACTAAAAGACTGGCTACTATCAATATTCATTCCACTTTCTAAAAAAGCCAATGTTAGAAAATGTGAAGAACATAGATTAATTAGTTTAATAAGCCATGTACTTAATTTACTCCTGACTATCATTCACTCGCGCATATACACCAAATCAGAAGAACGCCGGAGTAAAGTTCAGTTTGGATTCAGAGCAGGACTCAGAACGAGGGAAGCACTTTTTAGTTTGCAAGTTCTAATACATAAAGCCAGGGATGTCAACTGCGATGTGTAACATGTTTGATTGATTTCGAGAAGCACTTGATAAAATCCCACATTGGAAACTAATCGAGATCCTAAGAACATCAGACTCGATGGTAAGGATATAAGACTGTAACATTTTTTTTTATTATTAAAATATTAATTAGTTTTAATTTCTTTTACCCCCGTGCGATACGCCGATGACTAGGAATTCCCGTGTTAACGATAAGAAAATAATATTGGATCTACTAAATTATAATGGACTTCCCTAATTACTAAAGATAGTAAATCCTTTCCGTATTAATACTAGGTATGAAAATATTTAATGCTTTTGGGTATGCAGGTTCTTTTACATAAATTGATAATTTTTCGCCGAAGGCCCGTATCTTTTGACAATAAGTTAATCCCAAGTATTGTCTGCTTCTCATGTCCAATTGTTGGTACCGGAACTCAAAACTTTCGGAATTTTTACTTCCTCAGAATTACCTACAACTGTCCGGATGATTTTAAGTGGGGGAAAACCTTCTTCTTCTTTTTTCTTGGATAGTTGAGGAAATTTTTAGTGCAACCAACTTACTTCTCGGTGGGCTCTCGTTTAGCACAGGTCGATTATCTCGTGAGACTTCTCGGTGGCCTCTGCTTGAGTGTGGTCGCTTGCCTGGAATTATCGTCTCTGTGAATTATTTTGCAAGTGTGTATACATGTATATATATATACATCTTAAGTTGTATATATATATATATATATATATATATATATATATATATATATATATATAGTTCTACACTACCTTTAATGGTACCGAGTAATATGGTATGGTATCATACCACCTGCCATTATCTGGACTTATCACCCATCATTCATCCATATCTTCATCTGTAGATTGCCGATTTTTATATTTAATTTAAAGAACAATTCAAGAACTTTCCATAAATAATAACTATAAACATCTCAGTTTAGCATTAATTAATAGTGCGATATAGTAACCCACCTAGCCAAGTGCGGTTTGGCTAGTTAATGTTTTCACCTCTGTAACATGTTTGTTTTTTTTTGTAAATTTAGAGTTAAGAAATTTTTGCTATCTTTTGTATTTGCTAGAATTTTTGCTCATTATCTTTCCTATAATATCTCGAGATACGCCAAACTATATTTGTATATGATTGCCTTATATATCTTGGTAAAGGTATTTTTTTATTATATTATTGCTTAATTTTATACATATATAACACCATTTCATAGTTGTGTATTGTTATTACTCGTGTTGCATTTAGCAGCATCATAATTTTGTGTTTAATATATTGTTAATGTTTTATGCATGTATTTTATTTGTCGGCTCGTAACAAGTTCTTTGATAAAATAGTAGCTCTAAATATTTGCTTAGTATATTAATTTATTACTATACCTTTGACCAGTAGAAAGATCAGGCTGATTAAGTTTCGTAGGTAAGTAAGTGTAATACCTCATATATTATTATTTGTTTATAATATTGTGTTGACCAAATTTATTTGATAATTAACTGTTGGTATCTTTCCTTGGGTTTGATCTCTGATCTCTGAAGGATATCTTTCCTTATCTCTTTTCTTTTCTAAGGTTTCTTAATTTTCTCCTTAACCCCAAAAAATTGAGTGGCGCCCTGTTTCTATCTTCTCTTATCTTTGGTAATTTTACCCATCTATCTTTTTGTTTATTTCTATATCTTTTCTAATATCTTTTATCCTATCTTTACTTATTTCGTCCGTTGGACCCAATCCTGGTTCCAAAAGCTATTACAGTGCGATTAGAAAATGAACTGTCCGAGATCTTTACAGTCAAAAAAGGAGTTATACAGGGTTGTATATTGTCACCAGCATTATTTAATATATAACAATATCAGATATGCAGGCGATACAGTGTTACTGGTAGATAGGCACTAAAGGATAATGGATAGCGTTGTAGAAACATGTAAGAGATACATCCTAAAACTAAATTGCAAGACAAAAATACTGACCATTAGTTAAAACATCAACATAAACACCCAAATTACAAGAGGCGATACACTATTAGAAAGACTGGAAAAAATATGCTAATTGGATGCAAAATTAAGGATACTTAGGATCACAGCTACGAAATAAAAACTGGTATTGAAAAAGCCAGAAGCTCTTTCAACAGGCTTAGGAAGATTCTCTGCAACCTATATTTAAGTATCAATATATGCATAAGAATTCTTAGATGTTACGTATTTAGTATCCTCCTTTATGGAGTAGAAAGCTGGAGCCTTACAGAAGATGCCATAAAATGAATAGAGGCATTTGAAATGTGATGCTACCGACGCGACGTATGTTGAGTGTCCCATATATACACCACACAAGTAATATAACTATTCTCCAGAGGCTAAGAAAAGACAAAGAAATTATTAACACCGTAAATAACAGAAAAATTGGCTTTTTTCGGCCACATCATGCCTGCCAACATAATAAATTCCGACTTTTACAGTTGATTCTACAAGGCAAGATTGAGGGTAATAGAAGCTCTGGAAGTAATAACTGATTTATTTTGAGCTGCTCTAAATATAATAAGATGGGTCAATGTGGTCGCCAACATCTCTAGAAGATAGGCACATTTAGAAGAAGAAGAACGACTTAAAAAAAGATGGTTCGATGAGGTAGAGAAGGATCTAAAAAAAGGAAATTCAAAACTAGAGAGCGAAAAGAGAAGGCCGAATAAAATGAAAAAGAATTGTGAAGCTATGGGCCTAAAAGGTTTGCGTAAACATTAAAATATATATTGAAAAGATTATGTTTTCATTAATTTTATTTTTATTGATAATAAATGTTGTATTTTTAAAGTATGGGGTTCGTTGTTTAATATAATATACCTCGGCTAGCTCAATTATGTGTTCTTAGCAATCTGTCACTGTGTGACGTCGACTCTGTAGTCTACTGGTAGAGTTCAAACAGAAATTAAACCAAAATTTACTTTAGACTTTGGATAAATTAACCCAAATGAAGCACGTTATTTATTAATATTGAACAAATTTATTTTGAACAATAAAATTCGTTTGCAACTTGGGTTGCCTTTAAAAATTTACAAAAATAGGAATCGTGTAAACCTTAATATGGTTTAGTGTCGTAACAATAAAAGTCGATTACAAAATGTGGAGACTTTCTACAAGTACCTGAAATCTAAATACATATTGCAACTTTATAAAGTGTTTAAATGAACTATCAAGAAAAAGAAACTGAACACTTTATTCCGCTGACTTTCAACTTGCATTCAAATATAATCAAAATTACAAATGATCCCCTAAATTATTATCCAACCTAACTTTAAAACAGTTCTGATTTCTTTAAATAAAACTAACTTCTCGCAAAGTAATCGGTGAAACTGGAATATCAATCCTCTCTTCGGAATTTAAGGTACGTACTACTCTAGTTTTAATTTAATAATCATTAATATTTTTCAATTTATAAGGCCTATTGCAATTCTGTTAATTCATGAATTTTAATTTTCTCAATCTCAATGAAATTTCTGTACTCCAATAATAATTTATAACTCAAATTGTTTCTCTTACTCTCTGAAACAAATTCTGGATATATCTGCTCTTCCAAAACACTGGAAACTGTGGAAAAACTAAATTTTAATCAGACGAGTTGAAAACACTCCCGGCCTATTTCACAGTTTCGGGCAAGAGGTCTAAAACTAGCGTCGGTATCTCCAAAATATCTTCTCCGTTGCTAACCGCAACCAACGTTCTTTTTTCTTTTTTTCGTCTTCTATTTAAAATTTATTTAAACCATAAAACTGTCCTGTTCTGACACATTTGTCAAGCCACATTAATTTCTCATAATCACTTTAATCACATCTAATTTGGGAATAAAAAAAAATGTTCAGATATAAAACTTATTCTATTAATACAATTTATTCTTTTCATCTCCACATCATTGTAATTTCTTATTTAACAAAACCCCTATTAATTTAGCTCCCACAGACTTGCTTGACACTTTAAATAAATTTCCTTCATTTATTTTTTAAAATTTCTATGTTTAAATATTTTTTAAGAATTATTCTTTTTTTTTAAGGTTTAGACGAATCACCTATTCACTAGGCAACTATACTATTCAAAAATTATTAACATTATACCAGGTAAGTCAAAATTAATTTATTTAACAATTTACTAATCTTTTTCTCTCTTTTATTTCAGAGTCGACCCCACATTGTGATGGCTTCATGAAATCCATGAACAACAAACTCATATAAAAATCCATTTAAATTGTATCCTTTTTAACATATTGAAATCATTTCAATATGTTAGTGGTATAAATATAAAGGGTTAGATCATTACGGGGCTATCCCTCAATGACAGTATCTCATTTACGTAGCGGATATTATTTTATATAAAGCTTAATCTGCGTCTTTGAAATATAAATAAATTAAGATACAATGAAATATACCTTTAGTATTACTCCATGTCTTCTGTCCCAATGTTCAGCAAATTCGCAAATATCCAAAAGTAAAGTATTAGACAGTGCAAACTCTCTCTCAAGATATTTGGGTATTTCCTTAGCAATTCCTAATAAAAAATTGTTATAATCATTAAAAGATGATTGACGAATCTTGAAGGGAATACATCTCGAAATATTGCGCCTCTGCTGCTCGCAATCGCAACGCCTGATTTTACTTATAACTAAGCTATACACTAATATCACTAAATTATTATAATTAACTGACACCCTATCAAATAAATTTTACCAAAGACATGATATTGGATAAAAAAATTTAATATATCTACTGTCTTTACAATTATCTGTGAAGAACAAATTATAAAGAGAGCTTTTAAATGATGGGAAAATAGCAAAAAAATAAATAATCGGTACTTCGTAGACGAAACAGCTCTTCTTGCGAACTGCCGAGCAGACTTGAATAATCTTTATGACTGGTTCAAACTTAGAGTCAGATATTTGGTTAAAGGTCGCGGCATATTATCATGCACGTATATTTTCCGGCACGTAGCGTTTCCAGTCCACGTCAATCGGACTGCACGTTCACATTTTCATACATAGAACGTTTTAGTTTGTTTCGGTGAAGATATGATCTCGCTTGTCGCGACAAATATTATGTGCAATTGCTCTTCTATTTAACGATGAAGAAAGAAAAACTGTAGCAAAAAGAAGGTTTAAAGTACATCCAATGCTAAGAAAAGACGATGACGATGAAAAATATTATGGATATTTTAGAATAAATAGGATTTAATTTGAATATATTTCAAATTTAACTACACCTTTAGTTAAAAAACAAAATACTACATTTATTGAAGCCATACATATCAAACCAAACAGTATTAAGGCCTATCCTCGATAATCCTAACGGTAAAATTCAGTGAGCTATCTATTTCAAAAATATCTTCTTTACGAAAACAAAATCCATTCACGAAGAATATTCTAAACGTCATCTGGTACTAAATTTTATATTTTTACCTACTTACAACCCCCTATTGTGAAGTCTTGGGTGTATACAATAAAGCGAGCGGGAGGTCTTCTATTCATTGGGATTATGGGGTAATTAGAATAATACGAGTATACCAGAGTAATATTATTTATTGAATAATTAATTCACAACTTAGCAAGGGTACATACAGGTAACAAATAAT